CTTTCAGCAATTTTCGTCATTTTGTACAGATTTTCAGTCAGGTTTCCCATCTGTTCTAGAATTCCATAGTGTCGAATGACATGCTACATTGTCTGGCAATGAAAGGAAATCGAGAACTACGAGAGACAAAATCTGGAATAGGAGATTAACACTCGTGTCCTTGTAAACGAGTTTGCGTATTCATGAAACATATGATAGTGAAAGGCCATAGTTGAATCTTCTGCAAACCTCGGCTCCTCACAGTGTTTGCCTAAAGTTGTTCTTCCTTTCTGGTGTCATCCTGTTATACGTTGTGCCATAGAATAGAAAATGGCTGCTATCAGCATGGAATGAAACTGGCGAATAAAGAATTTATCCCTTTATCGCAGTTATGAGTTTCAGTATGACTGCGCCGTATTTCTTATGACATATTCAAAAGAAAAAGTACGTTTAAGTGTTTATGATTTTATACCTAGGAATATTAACTAACTTCTCAATGCAGCTGGTCATTTGTGATGATTGAACTAATAACTTTCACAACATCACTGAATGTAATATGCATAAATTTAGCAAAGCTATAGGATATTAGTATTTGTTTGTGTTCATGTAGTTAAAGAATAGAAGAACATATATTGGCTGAGAGTTAACTGGGGTAGCAGGCAATTATATCTGTCTAAAGGAGTTATTATTTGCATGTTCCCTTTAGCAGGGTCATCTGTTCGAATTAACAACTGTCTCCTCATGATTCTGTCTTTGGGTAAACCTTCGGTCTTCCTCGTCATTCCTTTCGTGTCGAAGCTTTGACTGCATTTCCGACGTGCCCATCAGATATTCTTGTCACTTGACCGAACCAACGGAGCCTGTTTTCGATCAGCTGGGAGGTATTCTTAAAGTACCCTTTCCGAAGGTATTCCGAATGTGATCCTTCTCGCTGATCCATTTTATCCAAGGGCTTTCTATCTACATGTTTATAATTCCTACTACTAATTACACATGAATGATTTTGCTGTTCAAGAATTTAAACACTAGTGAGCTTTTGCGCAAATTTAATTTATTCAGTCAGGTATTAAAAAAGAATAACCTTTGTTAATTTATTGTTGTTTCAGGGCGCAGTCCGGTACCGGCAAAACTGCTACTTTTGCCATCGGCATTTTGCAGACACTGGACACACAGATCCGGGAAACGCAGACTTTGGTTTTGTCTCCTACTCGGGAGTTGGCTGTTCAGATCCAAAAGGTGTGCGAGGAGTTCGTTTGCAGATTCTGTTTCGTTTACTGTTCAGTTCTTCGCTCTTCGATGTGTTTGGTTTTTTAATCACGAGTTTTCTACTCAGGTTGTGCTCGCTCTTGGCGATTACATGAACGTCCAGTGTCATGCATGCATTGGTGGTACAAATGTCGGCGAAGATATCCGAAAGTTGGACTATGGTCAACACGTCATTTCTGGAACCCCTGGCAGGGTTTTTGACATGATACGAAGGCGCAGTTTACGTACCCGCGCGATCAAAATGTTGGTCCTTGACGAAGCTGATGAAATGCTTAACAAAGGTTGTCTTCATTACTTGCTTGTTTGTTGCTCCTAATATTGTTTGTTTCGGATTATCAGGATTTAAAGAGCAAATTTATGACGTTTATCGCTATCTACCCCCTGGAACCCAAGTCGTTCTAATATCTGCAACGCTCCCGCATGAAATTTTGGAAATGACAAGCAAGTTCATGACAGAACCTGTGCGAATTTTGGTCAAGCGGTATTTTTTTTCAATATAATCAGCCAGTGCTTATCTTTTTTTGCTATTCAACGTTTAATTTAGTGATGAACTTACCTTGGAAGGTATAAGGCAGTTTTTCGTTGCGGTGGAGCGCGAGGAGTGGAAATTCGACACACTGTGCGATTTGTACGATACACTGACAATAACGCAGGCGGTCATCTTTTGCAATACCCGCAGAAAGGTATATTTTAGCAGTTGTGTATCCGCCCCTGAATTTGAACGCGTCTGCTGCGGTGAAGGTTCGTCTTTTCAGCCTTATTAAGGTTCATTAACATTTGGGCATGAGACGCACCACTTCCTAACCGTACAGCTGCATACAGAGCATACATTCTAACCACAGTTAAGCGGTAATCACGGTTACCAGATAACCCCATCACTCTTCCCAATAGTGTGGCATTTTGATGTGACAGGATTCAAATATGACATCCAAGACCACAGAGTGAGGAAACATCTTTATTACTAATCATACCCAAGAAATCTGTCTTTTTGGCCGGGTTTGGTAAGTTCGTGTAATCTAACCATTTCGAGATGCCCACCAGCTGTTCTCAGAAAGCCCATTCATTCCATTCGTTTTCGCCCGGGATCGAAGTTTTTCAGTCGTGTCCCAGGATTCATGACCGTGCGTGAGCACAGGTTCAAAATCGAATTGAACACAGGCAGTCTTCAAAATTAGGTGCTTTCGTAACAACGTTTCGGGCTACTTGAAAGAACGCCGCTGACTACTCCACTCCGCCGGTCCATCTCCCATTTTCCATCGGCAGTCAACACTACTACTTGAACTTATTCACTTGCTCTACCGTTTCTCGGTTTATCTGGAGAGCGCGACAGGCAGGACAACAAAAAATCACTAGGTCATTTCTTTTACACATGTTCACTCGCATACCCGGCACTCGCACTCGTCTGCGTCCTTTCCAGAGAGCGCTGTAGATTACTTTCAGATATTGCCGACAAAACAAGGTCATCTTCATATATCATCTTTCTCGTCTCTACATCTCCAGCGCTGATACCCTCATCGCCCTGGTTTCTCCTGACTGTTTCATCCACGTAGAACTCGAACAGGAGATAGAAGAGAATGTAGCTTTGGCGGAGATTAGTGCCAACGCTTGAAGATCTTGACTCTGACGCAGTACCTGATATAAACATATAGTGACTGGACGGTTCGTAGCAATTGCATGCAGGCACACCCGTTTCTTGTTGGATTCCGTCATAGACTTTGATTTGGTCCACGAACACATATAAACCCCTATGTGCAAACGCCCACAGTTTCTCATCAATCTTACATAAATCGAAGATCTGGTCAGATATATCTCAACCTTGCTTAAAGCCACCTTGCCCTTATATCCTAAAGTCAGTTATTCCGCACTACCTCTTCTAACACCTTCGAAGGCTCAGAAAGGTACTGCTACGAACAGTCCCTATGGTCTCGGTTCTGGAACAGGGGTACTACAAACCCAGTTCTCCAGTTCAATGGTGTCTTCCCTCTCGTTACTGCCGCTTTACAGATACCTGTTAATCACACTACCACCGTGGATTCTCCCCTAAAGTTTTTTTTCAGGGCGGATTTCATCCATTCTAGCAGCCTTGCCACGTTTGAAGCCTTTTGCAGCTTTTGTGACTTCGTCTGCTAAAAGACTAATATTGTTGCTGCTTCTGTTCAGGCAAGTTTTCTTGCCATTACTTGGGGTTAAAGGGCTCCTCAGAGTACTCTCTTCCGTCGAAGTGTGTCATCATTCTAGGTAGTGGGGCGCCCTGATTTGTCCTTCACGACTTTTGGTCTATAGTTCTTTCTGTCTCGACGATCTGCCAGAGTACCTGGTTTGCTCTCTGTAAATTTCGACTCCAGCACCCTTTCTAGCTTTTACCAGGAATCCGCTTTCATTTTTCTCGCTGCTTTCGCTGCGTCTTTTCGCAGTTCTGTGTACGGCATTTCAGTTATTTGCTTCGAATCCATCTCTTGAATGTAGCCTTGTCGCTGACATCCAGTTGAACCTTCCGTGTCGACGAGCAAATTCGTTGCAGACCCTCAGGGAGCGTAATGTTAAACCATAGCATTTGACGGTAGCCCCTAGCAAGTCGCTCTTAGCGGGTTTTCACTCCATTTCAATATCAGCGGTCATCACTGGGATCTCTTCAGATCCTCATGCGATGTTGTTCGCAAATTTCTACCTCGTATTTCTGCAGACCGCGGATGATAATGTTTCTCATTTAATTTGCCACTGCCGCCAGGTCTGTCACCTCATGGTGCTTCATCGTTTACCGCTGAAGGATGCAACAACGAGGTGATGATCGGCTGCCCATTCTGCGCCACTCTTTACGCGAGTATCCATTACAGCGTGCAGTTTTTCCGATGACAACGATTGTCAAGTTGATCATGGACTTTTTGCACAAGCTTTGATACAAGATACATCGATGCACGTTTCGATGCTCGAAGTTTATAACGTACATTTCGTTGCTTGCACGAAGTCCACCACCTTGTCACAATCTTTTGTCACGTTTCAGAAATTTTTCTTTTTTTGAGATTAGTATCAGCGGGCATTTGGCATACACATATTATGAAAATCAGGTAATAAGATTGAAAGATTCCTCAAATAATTGGGCTCATTGTTATTTCTTTAAATTAATGACTACTAGCCGGCTACTGGCCATTCTTGATCCATATTTAGAGTCCACGTTGGCAATTGGCGAGCGACAGAAGCTTCTTTCATGATTGTCATATTTGCTGATCTTCTCTCTTTGGGCACCTTTGATTTGCCCTTGATTTGTTAGAATGAGAACAGTGACATTTGTAGTTTAATTCTCCACCTTATTCTCGGTGTGCCTCATACACAACATTGTGAAATTCTGTTCAGTCGGAATTCATTTGCTCTTGTTGGGGTAGTCGTTTTTATTCCTTTCCAAAACCGTCTGAACTGCAGGGAGGTGGAGATAGACACTTAAATGGTAATTAATGGTTCTAGATTGGCTTGACTAATTTTCATTTAATCATAATGCATTTAATTTTGGCAGCAGTTGAGTAAGAATGAACTCTTAATAGCCGATTGTTGTATTGCAGTACAAAGGTATAAAATATGTAACCGACTTATTTAATTTAAGCACCGGTCTATGATTCATGGTTTTTATTGTGCGTAAGTTAGGTATTGAGATCATTTCTTCTACATGAGCGAAACACGAATATTCTGTTGCAAAATCGACTTCTTGTGTTTATTAGCTTGACAGTGATAATTCTTCTGGCCCATATACTTGTACACTTAACATATATCACGTTTGAAGCCATAAACAGAAAGAACGAAAAATGAAGATCTTTTAATTTGCCGAATTATCTCATTTTAAATGCAGTGTCATCCTCAAATGATGATTACGAATTTGCCCTGATTTCTTTTGACGAAACTTGTCGTCATCAACATATCTGAATTACATCTCCCTGGGATCGTTGAAATTAACTTATTCGGCTTCTTGTATGACCCTGTTTTATCTCTTCTTAGGTGGACTGGCTTTCAGAGAAGATGCGCGAGGCGAACTTCACCGTGTCGGCGATGCACGGCGACATGGAACAGAAAGATCGCGATCGCATCATGAAAGAGTTCAGAGCAGGACAAAGGTTAACAAATTTCGCTAGTGGGCTCGTTCGAATTTCCTGTCTGACCACCATGTTTTAGCCGGGTGTTGATTAGCACCGACGTATGGGCGCGTGGTCTTGATGTGCCTCAAGTTTCATTGGTTATCAACTACGATCTTCCAAATAATCGAGAGTTATACATCCATAGGTAACTATGTTTATATTGTTTTTACTGTTTCTTAAAAGTTCTACTTCAAAGTGCCTGAAACTGGCAACCATCTATTTCGAGATTAAACTTTTTATGACGGCCAGATATTCGTATCTCTGATACTTTGCACAGTAATAATCATCTTATCGTTTCATTTTAATTTATAGCCTAGTAGTCTGTCCTCACTTGTGTGCACGACGTCTCCTTCAGATGATACTTGATCAGTCTTGACACCGAGCATGTGTCATTGCTGCCATTGAATATTACTGTTCAGCTACTAGATCGGAATCAGGTTTATCCACTTTGCAGGAGTATTGTGCTTTATAAATCCTAACATTTTGTTAGTTTCCTTCGCTGAATTTATTAAAGTGCATCCACGTTCATCGCTTTAGAATTGGTCGATCAGGCAGATTTGGGCGAAAAGGTGTGTCGATAAACTTCGTCAAATCAGACGACATCCGAATATTGCGGGACATTGAGCAGTACTACAGCACGCAGATCGACGAAATGCCCATGAACGGTATGTTTTGATTTTCAT